ATTTTAAGAAGTCTTCACGGGGTGCCTGGCTGGCTCAGTCAGTAGAACATATGACTCTTGAATTTGGGAATGTGAGTTAGAGCCCTACATTGGGTGTAGAGCTTACTTAATTTTTTTTTTTAATTTAAAAAGGTGTTATTTGCCAAAATAAAACAAAGTTAAAAAAAAAAAAAAAAGAAGTCTGCATTAGCCCTATGACACTAGGAAGCACTTCATGATTAAGGGGCAGAGGTGACATGATCAGATCTGCACGTTGGAGTAAAAAAAAAGTGTTCTTAATCTTTCCCAGTATGGATCTTGGAAGCCCTCCCAGCTTCTGTTTTTATTTGCCCAAGGCCATTGTATTTGGTTGTGTAGATTGGGCGCTGCACAATTTCAGAGATGGGAGGGAGACACCACTCCCATAGATGTAGAATTGTGCAGTGTTCACTGGCACGTTCACAGGCAGTGGCCTTCCATTTGCTCCCTTGGATTAAATGTCTCCTCAAAAATCCAGCGAACACCCTAACACTGAAAACTCCATGCTTTGAGGACCCATAAGGCCTGCACTGCTGACATTTTTGTCTTTGCCCCTACCAAAGACGCCCGTGGCAGGTGTTTGTATATATGACACTCGTCTGCAATTCTGGTTTATAGGATTTTGGAAGGCCATGACCTTGCCTTTCCCACACAACGAGCGCTCCAAAATGGACCCGTTAAGCACACATCTTTTGAGCAACTAAATAAATGACTCAGCAAACTCCCTTAGAGAGTGAGTTCTCCCTTTGGAGGGGCTGTAACTCTCATTGAAACCGCATCCCGTCAGATCTTGTAGGCACCGGGGCCCCGGTAGGAAACACGCTCCAGCCAACGATTCCAGAACTTTAATGAAGGGGCTACTGGCCAGAGGTATTGGCGGGCTTAAGGAGCCATGCTGGTGACACCACCAGCCACCGTGTTCTCAGGGTTCCAACACCGTATGAGAAACATGGACTTCCACCAGGTTTCTTGGTGTCCTCCTCCACTCTCCACCTCCCTACCAAGTGCTAGGATTCAGACCTCTTCTCGTGAGAGGAAGATTCTCTGATGTCCTATCTTACACCTTTTCATCCTCCGGTGTTAATTCTCACATCTGAGTCCTCCAGGCTCCAACTAAACTTACTTCCGGCTGTGTCCTCTCAGAGACTCAGAATAAAAGTCCCTTTCATGTCAAGTGCCTAGTTCTCACAAATCAAAATCAACTTGGCTTTCAGACTATTGTTACAGCCCTGGACTCTCAGAACACTTAAAAGTCAAAGATAACAATGATGTCTTTGTTCTATGCTGTATCCACCCTCCTCCTCAAGCAAAGAATGCTATTGATCTGGGGGAAGGGAAGGGGGGGGAAGAGGAAGGATAACTGGAAACATCTGGGGATCACGTGAAGTGAAAACAGAGCCATTTAAAAAATATCATCCTGCTACAATTGTCAGCCCGAAAGGCGCCGCTCAAAGGGGTGGAAGGAGGAACTCCGTGATCCTGCGCAGACCTCCCCTCCCTTCCGGTGAGGTCAGTACAAATGATTGTTTAAGCTTTCTCAGTTATAATTCCACTCTAGTTATGTTTGCTAAAGAGGGATGGCCAGCTGTCACCTCGGCTGAAATGGAATGTCCTTGGAGCTCCTTGACAAAATGTTTTAGAAGTATCTCTTGAATGACATTTCGAGTTGGCTGACTCCTCCAAAATATTTAGAATTTACTTATTTATTTTGTGGATGGTAGCTTTTTCTTGGCGTGCTGGGAGCATGTGACGCAAATGGTCTCAAAGTTAGCCAGAGGAACTAAGGGCCGGGGAAACAACTTACCCGAGTATCCTTAACTCTCCTACATGGGATGTGATGGGCACCTTCTGGACTCCAGTCTCTACGAAAGGAAATGAGTTCTATTCACTGGATGTAGGAAGCAAGGAAGAAAGAACTGAAATCGCTCAATCCTATCTGTCTGTAATTTCCACCTGTGGCCAAGGGGGAAGGAGTCTCAAAGTTCTGGTTGGGGGTAGTGGGCCTTCAGGACCAACTTAATGAAGCATCTTGGGCCACGGTCTCAATGGGCACGCGATGTTGGCCCACAGAGATTATTCCAGATATTCATAGCTCACAAAATCTCCGCAGTCATCCATTTCCCTCAAGGTTGTTATATCAGAATGAGAAACTTATTTCTCATTGGCTAATTAGCTCTTAAGACCCCACTCCTGGGGCGCCTGGGTGGGGCAGTCGGTTAAGCGTCCGACTTCAGCCAGGTCACGATCTCGAGGTCCGGGAGTTCGAGCCCCACGTCAGGCTCTGGGCTGATGGCTCAGAGCCTGGAGCCTGTTTCCGATTCTGTGTCTCCCTCTCTCTCTGCCCCTCCCCCATTCATGCTCTGTCTCTCTCTGTCCCAAAAATAAATAAATGTGGAAAAAAAAATTAAAAAAAAAAAGACCCCACTCCTTAGGAGTAAATGCCTAATTATTATTGACTCAACTGCTTTATCTTACTCAGTGAGACAAAGTTTAAGAACGCCAGGAATTAAGACCATGTTAAGCTCTCTCTTTAATGTCTGTGGGGCTTTTATGTGTGAAAAGGAACACACACTATTTGTATTACGTTTAACGCTCAATTGATTACACTCATATATCTAATAAAAGACACTTTGAAAGCCTTTTTTTCAAAAAGCATTTAGTCATTGATTACAAGTTTGATTAATTCAATTCCCTTATATAGTTCAAACTACAATCACAAATTTAGTATGGCTGATCCTCTGAAAGCTTTCAGTGCCTTAAAAAACAGACAAAACAAACAAAAAATACAATGACTTCAAAGCTACTTAAAACTCTTTCACCAAAAAAGAAAAATGGCTCTAAATATGCTAAAATCATGGATTTAACGTTTTTTTCCCCCCAAGTGCCTATCCTTTTCAGAGTTCCAAGTTCTGTGGCATCCTGGGGCTTCAGTAATCTTACTGTACACCATTTAAAGATTTCCTAGCGTTTTAGTAATTTTACGAGACCCAGAAAGATTATGAACTCCATCTCAGAAAAGCTTAGAAGGCAGATGCCAGATTGATGACCCGTTCACTTTTGGCCAGAGCATAGGATTTCATTTGGCAATATTCTGATGACGAGGCTGAACACATTTTTGTCATAAGGTTTTGCTAATGGAATTATGGGACACTTACAGCCAGGTCTTTCACTTCTGAGCTTAGGTTTTCTCTCCCCAAATCCAAGTTTCTTTAAGTTTTGCCTTAACAACACACCGCTCCTATCACCACGTCCTTATGAAATACTGACCTGGTGTGTTGGCAGTATCAAAAACATACACATATTGCCACCATCTCGGAAAACTAATTGGGGTTTCTTATAGAGTTAAACCCACACCTACACCGTGACTCAGAGATTCCACTCCAACATATTTACCCAAGATAGATGAAAACGTAAGGTCACAAAAAGACTTGTACAATAATGGCCATACATTTTTATTCGTAATAGCCCCAAACTGGAACCCGCATCCATCAGTAAGAGAACGGGATAATAAATTGGCGAATAGTAACAAAATTTTTATAATGAGTACTTACAAATCCAGCTAGTTTCAACTGGCTATTATTATTATTACCATTATCGTTAACACTGATAATATGCTATGTCCCTGTAATGACCTTTTTAAACGAACTTCTCTGGTGTTCTTAGAAACTTTCTTATTCCTTGGTAACCATAGTATGTCCCAGAGTTATCCCTATCTTCTCTGACTCCCAAGAGTAAATAGTGGTTTTCAAGCAGAGGTAAGTCTACCCCCACCCCAAGGGTGCTTTGGGCTTCTAGAGGGTAGAGGTCAGGGATATCGCTAAACATCCCACGGTGCACAAGACAGCCCCCACAAACTGACATTTGGGCTCAATGTCAGTGGTGCAGAAGTCGAGAAACCCTGATCCAAGGTTGGAATCAAATAATTTCCAGAGAATTCTTGTTCTTTTTCAAGGTGCAAGAGTTTGAGAGATCAGAATCTGAGTGTTGAGACTATACAAACAGAGCTGTTGATGGACGAGTGTGCCACTGACACATTACTAGGCTGATTTTTTTTTTGAAGGTCAAGTTCAAATTTGTACTTCACAAGTTATCTCCTCATATGTCCTACACCACTTTTCTCATATTGTGTAGTTTTCCCAACCATCACAACTTTCTCCTCCATTGGCAAAAACATTCTTGTGATCACATCAAGTGACCCATTCAAGGTGGCTTTCATGGAACAATCCTCATGACTTACACAATAACAGTATTTGCTCTCCCTTCCTTGTCCTTCAGGGAAAGATCATTATAAAGAGAATTTCAAGAACTTTCAGAAATTTCTTTCTAATGATAATCTTGCCACAGATAAATACTGCCGGTATCCAGGTTTTCTGGGTTGGCAGACAACTTCTTGGTTACAAAGTAGCCACTTTCAAAAATAATAGTCGCTTTGATCCTTACAGCAAACAGTGGAACATTAGGTGCCAACCCAGAAGAATACAAAAAAAAAAAAAAAAAAAAAAAAAAAAA